TCCCTAGCCTTTACTGACTGGGGGGAAAAAGAAACCCAACCCAAACAGATAAACCCTGAGCGCTCATTAGATTTGTAGTTATATGTAGCAGTTATATGTTTCTGTAAGATGACTTAAACCACAGTAGTTTTTGCAACTTTACTACCTCTTTCTCCACAAAGAAACAGTACACAGGGCATATCTTGAATTTCTGGTTGATTATTCCTCATCTTGACAATTTTTGACCTTTTCTGACCTTCTATGTACTTGGAAAACCAACCTAAAATACTTCTCTCTCAAATAAGGGATGGCAAGTGAAAGACATTTCTAATCTTTGCATGTCTTTTTCTATACCTGGGCTATATTACATATCAACAACCTATATATTCAAACAACCCCCAGATTTGTTATTTCTTGGGGTGCAGCTAACGTGCCTATGTAATGGCATGTCTTACTGCTCCTCATGGGAGGAGCAGCGAGCTGGGCACATACTGTACATACACCAAAGTAGTACAGATTCCACCACAAGAACTTGTACCTGAGCCCACCCTGAAGACAGCAGCATACTTCTGCTACAACCCCTCATCTTTACCAGATAGCTATCAAAAAGCACTATTTTCACTGCGTTTCATGTGAGCGTGGCATCAAGCTTTTAAAAAATTACCCCCAGACACACAAAGCTCAGCAACAACTGGATGTGCCTAAACCCTAATGGAAAACTTTATTGCTGGGATATCATAAAGTCTCCAAAAGGTGGTTTCAAGTAAGCCCTTTTAAAATTTTCCTGTGTGTGCAGGTTGAGTGAATGAGAACAGGGGAACTGCAGGAGTAAAAGATGGTAAAACCTCATTTTTTGGAAAGATAATGTTACTTGGGATAACATATACCAAAATAAATCTCATTTTCTCCTGTGTCCACATATTAATGGTTTACAATAATGCTCCCTATGCATCTATGCAAATACTTGAAGAATGCAATTCATTGTGCCTTTTGCCTAGTTTTAATAAATTTGTCAGTTGTCATTAACAAATACTTTGTGTGCGATTTCATTACCTTGCCTCAAATCTTCGGTTTATAAGTGGCATTTGTCCAGAGAGGGCAGAATAGCTGGAGGAATGGCTTTTACGAAATGCCGTTCTAGGCAGTGAGAAGGATGACTCTCAATTGCCATCTATTTCAAAAATAAAATGCATAAAGCATTACACCAACTAGGACGCCAGAAGCAAAGCTGGAGTGAATTATTCCCTGCTACCAAGGGAGGGCGCTTCTGTTATACTCCTTGCCCCAGATGCTCTGCTGTACTCGCTGTCCTTCAGCCTGTTTATCCTTTAGGGCTACACCGATAAGGCCAGAGAAATCATTAAAATCTTTCAGATCTAGCTGCAATGTTTGTTTGGGGTATTTTTAAGAAAAAGCCTTTATTTCCCTTTCCACATTAAAAAAAAAAAAAGTACTGAAATGTTATTAAAATAACAGATTGCATATTCCTCTCCCACCAAACCCGTTGCATTTGTTTGGCGATGCTCAGACCCAGGTATAACCAGGTCAGCATCTCAGAGAGCATCAGTCTGTGACCTGGGGTAGGGGTAACCCAGCCAGAGCTGCCTCCAGACTGAGCCAGCTTGGCACAGCCAGCTCAGGCTTCGCCGCTCCCTGTTTGGGATTTGCTGTGAGCAAATGGGCTCCAGTCCCCCTGTGCTGTAAGACCCAGCAGCAAGATGGGAGAAACATTTAACTGCAGTAATACCTTCCTTTTTCACCTTCCAGCTCAAAATGTTATTTCTTTCATCCTTACCACAACAAATACACAAAACCAAGGGAGTTTTGAAGGTGAGCCGTGAGCAAGAGTCCTGCCAACATCCATACTATACTGGGGGAGACAGAGAGGGTGAACGAGACCGCTCTGGGATAAACGGCATCCCTACAGCTCTGCAGAGCATGACACACTTCCACCTAGTTGTCTTTTAACACACAGCTCATACCTCCCTCTAAACAGCAACAGAAAAGCTTTTGGGCATTTTTTGGGCAGGAAAGGTCATGGGGCTCAAAGGGTTCAGGGGTTCTCCAAGGTCAAGACATTTGCTAAGAAAAAAGAAAATTTCAATTTACAGCCACTCGCTCTTTCAGGCTGATTTTCACAGACCACAAGTGTCTTGAAGAGGCTGGTGGTGTTTCTCCCGACACAGCGTTTAATCTGCCAGAGTTTCCCATCCTTGCTCGGGTGAGGTCTGGATCAGGCCCAGCCACTTTACCAACCACATCGACATGGCCTGGGCACCTGAGCTGCTAAGGGGAAAAACCCAAGAAAATGAAACCCCACATAAAACTAATACATGCTGTGCTGCAGGGCAACTCCTGCACCTCACAAAAAAACCAAAAGCTGAGAGACCTGCCACGGTCCTGTAAAAATACCTCATGGCTTGGGTCCTGCCACCCAGGCTAAGTGAGCGCCTATTCCAAAATTTGCCATGTTTTGCCCATATTCACCAATATTCATGTCCCATATTTGCAGAGCAAGTCATTAAACACGGATGAGCAGAGTCGGAATAGCAGGCGCACACCATTCAGTCCTTGTCTCTCACCTCCATCTGAGATGCTGGGGTGTATTTTAGCGTTCATGCAAGCGTCTAGGAAGGAAGAAAGACAAAAACACTAATCAGTGACTCAATCAGGGCCTGGAAATAAACACATCAGTGGTCACCCCCGGGGAAGGAGTGCAAGAGTAAACATTAACCCTGCCAAGAATAAGAGATGGGAAGGGGCCTCAGAAAGGAGCAAACCCCAGGAGTATCATATTTCAAGAGGATTTTCATTTTCAGTGGCTGCATATATTAAAGCCTGGTGAGGATTAAACATACCTGTTGCTGCCACACCATGAGAAAAATCCAGTCCAAAAGCCCAGAGAAAGACCTGTCTTGACTCTACCAAGCTTTGGATAAGACACTGTTGGTTTTATTTTCTGATTTTCCTTTTCTAAGTTGCTCACTATGCTCTGGAACATCAACATTAACCCATTCACCCACCCTCCAGATCCCCACATATAACACACTAGGTGTAGATCATGAATACTTTGGGTTTATCCTCTGGCGTGATGCTGGAGTTGTCCACCTCTATCAGGATGTTCTTGTCGTCCCGGGTGACTGGCGCTTGCTGTTCACTCTGGAGGACTTGTGGTAGATTTCCCAAACTGATGTCCATGTCTTTGAAGGCATGGAGTAAAAACACACCCAGAATGATGGTAAGGAAGCCACAAACTGTCCCAATGATGCCCACTACAGTCATGGTGACCCACTCCTTAAAGAGGATGATGGAAGTTGCGATAACGATGGTGGTGAAGAGCACATAGTAGATGGGAAACACCAAAGAGGTGTTGAAAATGTCTAGAGACTTATTGAGGTAGTTTATTTGTGTGGTGATGGATGCCACCAGCGTGATGACTAGGATCCACGTCAATGGATGCTGCAGCACGGGCTGGCCAGCAAAGAAGCCCTTGATGGCAATGCCCAGCCCCTTGACCGAGGATACAGAGAAGGCACCGATAACGGAGCAGATGGTGAGGTAGACAAGGATGTTGCTCTGGCCATAGCGGGGTGCGAGGTAGAAGATCAGGAGGAAGCAGACAGCCAAGAGGATCGCAGCATAAGCGAGGAAACCTGGAAGAGGGAGAGAAATAAATTGAAACTGAGCAGCAGGGATGGGGGACAGAGCAGTACACACTTCCCAGCCCCAAGGAGAAAACACAACCTCCTGTGTACCTGGCTCTTTCAGCTTAGAAGACATTTCATCCAGAGTGGTGACCTCCTCGTCTTCTGGGGCATGTATCACCATCACGGTGCTGCCCACGAGGCTCAGCATGCAGCCCAGCTTTCCCAGCAGGTTGAGCCGTTCTCCAAGCAAGTAAGAAGAGAGGATGGCACTGCACAGGGCAGAAAAAACATCAGCTGGTGCTTTAAAGTCCTTTAAAGAAGGAAGAGCAGCTGAAATAAGGTAGAGAACACCTTCATGTGGTAAAAGGACACAAATTTGGAGTACATTTGTTGGATTTCCATGTGTAATACCCAATCGCATTGCACCTACTGACAGCTGAACCTGCAGAGATGCAGGGGTGGTCTGTAGATCGCAGCTCAGGTATCAGCAAGATGAAAACACGCTGAACGTGTTAGCACATCTACAGAAATGTTTTCAAGGTCTCCAGATTCACTCAGGAGCTGTTGGGCATTATGAAGCCCAAGGAAATTACTTCAAAAACCAGTGTAACAGAGAAAAAAACCCCAACCTAACAATGAAAGAGTTACAATATTTTTAACTAAATCATCAGAATTATTAAGCCCCAGAGAAACTCTGAATGATCTGTGGCCATAGATCTATCTGCAAAAATACCTAGTTGTCCATAAAAATCTGGTGCAAGACACCAAAGAAGTCCCAATTCTGTTTGCTTATGCATTTCACAGTAACAGTCCTTCTACAAAACCTTCAGTACCTGGCTTAATGTATTTTGATAAGAATCTCCTTTTTAAAAGTAATAATAATCAAAAAAAGGAAATAGGGTTTCAGCTCTTTTGTCAACAGACAAAATACAGAAACACAATATCAGAGCACCCGAAAAAGCTTAGAAAATAAAGGGCAAACAAAAGACAGTTTAAAAACAAGACTGATATTTATGACCCTTTAAGATTTTAGTACTGTTCACTACAAAACCAAATCAAATCAAAACAAACAAACAAAAAAATCTTGAATTAGCTAAAGAGCTAGAATAAGAAATGAAGTAACACTGATATTTATAATAATTTAACCTGAAGTGTATGTGGCTGCTATCCACATGCAGCATTTCCAGAGACCATGCTACTTCTTCAGTTGTTCCTAAACGATCCCCCAAAAGGACAACTGTTAGAGCATTCTTTAGAAAACGCTTAGACATTTTTCCTTTCAGCAGCATAAATCATGTTAGCATCACTTCAAGCCTTTCTACCTTACAAGACAAACAGGCAAATTAAAAAAGGCAAATTGCAAATTATAGACACACAAATCACCTTATGAGCACGCTCAGAGCCCCCAGAGGTGTGACAATAGTTGCAGGAGCAAAGGCATAGGCAGCAAAGTTGGCAGCTTCCCCTCCACCCACTAAACAAACACAAGAAAAATAAATACCAGTGAGTTACAATGTACTTTCTGTGCTTTCTCTTGTGGGCTTGCAAACTAGTCAGACATCAGTTAGAGAGTGGGTTTTATTATGGGGGTTTCATGCTGCTTCTAAACAGGGCCAAATCGTGGGTGAAAATCAATCGGCGACAAGTTAATGCAAGCAGAGAGGCACCCCTGGAGCCCTGCACCCAAGGGAGAAGGGCTGAGGGTGCCAGCGCCTGGCCATGTCACAGCTGACCCCTATGAACTCGCTAAACCCCCCTTAGCCCAGCCAGGCAGCTGCAGCACGTCTGGGTGATGAGTGAGGGGGTGGGCAGCGCTGGGAGGCTGCTCCTCACCACCAAGGGTCAACTTGGGTGCTCTGGTGTCACTGTCTGGCTGAGCTGTCCTTGTCCCTCGCGCAGTGAGTATTGTGCGCTTGCCCGCGGGTTGTGCCGTGGCGGTTGTGCAGCGGGAGCTGCGAGGGCAGAGCGAGGTGGGGGCACAGTGGGCTGCTGCAGTGAGATCCAGAGAGGACTGCTCTGGAAAAACCCTCTTGTGAAATCTGCTGCTCTCTGTGCAGTTAGGAGTCCAGTTTGAGAGGATACTCTAATGTTGTACCATGAAAAAAGGTCTTAGGGCTTGCTCTAAGGGAAAACAAGTTTTGCCCAAGAACGGAGCTGCTACCAACACCTCCTTGTTATCTTCCTTGTGCTGCAGCAGTAACCTTTCCCAGAGCCTCTGGACACTCATGGGAAGCTGTTTGCCCCGTGCCTGGTACACAGGCAGACCAGCCAGCTGCCTTACTAAAACCTGGCTTTTCATGCCTTGGATTGGGTAAGACTGAGCTGGCAAGTCCTACCAGCCCTGCAGGAGGTTGGTGAGGAACCTGCATGGCTCACTGTCTCCGCTCTCCTTGAGGTACCTCTGCCAATGCCAGGGAACTTGCCAGAATAAAAGGCTCTAAGCCACCAGATGCTGGGCTCTTTCCACTTCTGATTCACAGGGAGAGACCCTGGGAAAGTTGCAAACCCAGGGAAACAGCTTCTACTTACTGGTTAACAAGCCAGACCACCAGAGCCAGTCCTTTAGGTAGCCATGGCCTCCGTCTCCTGGGGAAGCAAAGCACACAGGTTTGCAGGAGTTAACAACTGTGCTCTTTGGAGCAAGAGATGAGAAACATCCCTGTGGAGGGGGATAAATAACAAGGGGAAGAGTGTGACAAAGAAAACATCCTGGAAGGACAGAATATGCAGACATGCCATCCTACATGAAAATTATGTTGAGTCAAGGGATTAGCAGAAGCTGGCACTTAGGGCTGGACAATGAAAACACAGTAAAGGCAGTTGTTTAATCCTGGGTGGAAATGGGAATGGCACCCAACGCCACGGAGGTTATCGGCCTGGGGTGCAGCCTGCCCTGCTGCAGCATGGAGCTTGGGGCTGCCCTTTGGCCCCAGGAGCTGTGGTCATCCTCGCTGGTTCATCAGGGTGCATGGGCCCCGAAACCCAGCAATAAACACCCCAGCTGAGGTCCTGCCGACTGGTCGTGTTTCGTCTTGCATGTTCACCGTGAGGCACTCCTGGAGCAAAGGGATGAAGGATCACAGGGGCTACTCTGTGCTGGTGCCCCCCACCCAAAGGCTGCTCCCTGGGACCCTGTGTCCTGCCCGCGGGGAGCCCGCGCTTCACCTCACATCGACGTGCTGTGGAGTCTCGCGCATGGGCGCTAAGGTAAGGCGATGCATTTTTCCAAACCCAGCTCAAGCAGGGGTTAGGGCTATGAAAGATGAAGGGGGAAAACCAATCGGTTGCTCTGTGTGGGTACTGGGTGCTTTAGTTTGTGTTGCTGGTCATGGTGATGGCTCCCTGCTCCTTTTGTACACTGCTTGGTATCCTAGTTGTATCACAGGGCCTCAGCCTGAACTGCTGCAAATGCTGATGTTAACTTTATGTGGAACAGTCATTCGTGACAGTGTTTTTGATGAAAAATGATTCCTGGTATTGGAACAACTATATGAAAGAAAATGTGCATGTGAATGAGGAGGAACGGACGTACTGTGTTGGGAGCTAACCCAGCTCTAGTCTTAACCCACAAGCGGTGAGACAAGAGGAGCTTGAGCCTGCTGACATGGTGAACCCTGATTTTACTGGATCAGATAGAGCCCAGGTTTTGGATGAGCCTGGCCTGACTGAAGCGGGCAGTAACAGCAGTGCTTGACCTGCTTTGGAGGAAAGTGATGTGTGCAGATAGCAGGGGTGAAACTCAGGGACTGAGAGATTAAGGGGGGAATAAAGAAGTGGACAGGAATCTGCTAGAATTCAGCCTCTTTTGGTTCAAATGTTCAAATGTTATGCTTTGGTATTCCTTAGAAATTGCTGGTTTTGTTTGTTTGTCATTTTTTTTTCTCACAAACTCTTTTTGTCAGCTGCAATTTTCTGTCATTATTCTATAATTCCTGGTTAAACATCCTGAGAAATACAGAGGGGTTTGCTCTTGTTTGACATACTTAGCTCTGTTGTGGGAGGAGTTCATGGAGGGAAGGAGAAGACACCTTCTACAGCTGAAACAATATTGGTATTTCATTGTGCAACTATAAGGCAGAAAGCAAACCCGTTTAAGTTTAGCAGTTGCGTGCAGCCAGCCTAATATCAGGGGATGAAGAGGGACTCGAGACTGGCCCGCCCTCATGTGGGGACACAATAAATGGGGACAGTGATACTGACTTCCTTTGTAAAATGATTGAAGAATTGTTCCTAGGCCAGAACTGGGAAGCAGTAGTATTTTAATTACCATTATTTTGGCTTGTAGTTATGCAAGTAGGTCAGCTGCCAGGTAGGACTTAACGCTGCTGCTAGAGGAGTTTGCAATGCTGATGGGATGCGTCCAATTCCGCTGTAGGCACTGCTCCCTCATCATTTCCCACCCATATATACGTGCACGTAAACACAAGCCTCACCCTAAGAGCTTGGTGCTAGAGGAAAGTTATCTACACATTGTTGAGCAACATAACTCAGAAGTACCTTTCTGAAAACCACAAGCAGAGTTCACACTGATCATGGGCGGGCAGCCCTGCGTCAATAAATGGCTCTTGCTAACGCACTCAAGGCACGTGAGGCTGCATCGTTGTCTCAGTGACTTGGTGGTAAGCTGCCTAGTGCCTCAATAAGAGCAAGAATGGGGGTCATGGAGCTGTGCTTTTCTGCTCTAGTCTGTGGCATGGGGATGTCTTGCACCTTTGTGCAACGGGGCACGTTTCAAAGAGCTTTCAACACTTTGCTTCCTCCTGGCATCACACTTCCCCATGTAAGAGCTGTGGTGTGTGTATGGTCTTCTGGTGGGTGCACATCTGATCACACCGTGCATGTGACTTGCTATTTGTGGTGCATGGCAGGGGAATGCTGCTTTCAGCTGAGCCCTTCCAATGCAGGGCTCTGTAAATTAGCTTCTCAGCTCCAGCTCAACACTGCTGTCTGGGTCTTGCACACAAAAATGCATCCACAAAAGGTCTTATTTACACTGCCGATGGAAGGTTGACATACCCAGAGGTGTTCCTTTGCCTTATGTGTGCTGGAGTTTGGATGATGCATGTGGTTCTAGGAACAGATGGACCTCCTCCCTCCTGCCCCCCCACCCCACGCCACCAGCCTTACCTGCCCTGGTGCCTCCCTTCTCCACCAGCCGTAGCAGCCCCTTCTTCTTGAGGATGACACTGCTTCCGATGAGGAAGCTGGAGAAGACAGCCAAGCCCAGGCCAATGTAGAATCCATAACTGCTTTCTAGCCGAGTTATCCAGAAGTTAGATGAAGTCCCATTGTCCTGGACAGAGTCAGCTGGCTCAGCATCACTGATCACTCGGCACATGACCCGGTGGGAAAGGCACAAAAGGGTGACCAGAGACCCTGTGAGACCACAGTGGACATAAAACAGCAAATTACAGTTACGACTATCAACAGCGCCTCTACTGGCTTTTGGACTCATTCGGCTGTCCCTCTGAACAGCCACCTGTGCTGTCACCCTAACAGCACATACACACCAGCTCTGAAAAACTCACGGCACCTCTTAATTGCTAAGATGTTGAGTGACAGATTTATGGTGTGGAGTGCAAGCAGCTCGTTGACACAAATGTGTCTGCCAGTCTCCCCACTGGAAGGCCACAAGGACCACTATAATAATGTAATTTGAATTTACAAATATCTATGCCAGAGTATCTCCACCAAACTCCAATGTTATGAGTTTGAAGTATGCCTTATCGACACTCAACCTTGTTGATTCAAAGGCTTTGGTGCTTTCCAGCCAACTAATCCTGGCATCTGCCAGCTTGTCTGCAGCTTACAGCTTTGAGTTTAATACGGAGCGTTGCCAGTACTCTGTGCAACCGTTCCAGCTCTGTGTACCGAGCAGTGCCATGGGATAGCTCGTAAAACAACAACAGGCTTGTACCGGACTAAAGTTTCATCTCTACGTTATCCCTACTGTTCGGTAGTTTTATTCTACCTATTTGCAGAGTGCCTGAGTGCTCATAGAGCACAGCAAATCCTGCCAGTGTGGAAGGACTGAAAGCAGGCACGGTTTTCTGCTGTTAACACCAAAAGCACTGAAGCCCTGTGTCTCAGCCAAGGTGTGTTCCTGCGTGTGGGTGGGAAAATTGCCGAGTTTCTCCTACCCTCACACTCCTACCACACCCAGTGCATCTTTCCATTGCAATCTTCACTCTGAGTGTAGTAAAGACAGCGTGGCTATGACCGTGGGGAACAGAACAGCCAGGTGGAGTGTCACAGAAGTCCTTTTGTAGTAAAAGACTTAATTTTCAGGCTGAACTCGTGTAGGAATTATGGTACAAGTATTTGTGTCTCTGCGGGCAGGTACGCAATGGCTAAACTGCTCGCGGTACTGCCTGGGCATGGGTCCCACCTTTTCCCAAAGGAAGAGACTGGCTTAGACCTGCAGCTGCACCCCAACCCCCAGCACATGTGGCTGAGCATTTGCATCCGACCTGAACCCAGATATTTCTAATGGAAAAAATTCCCGTGACTTTATGAGTTTCCAAAGGCTCTCTCCTACGTTTCTTTTTCCACTGGAAAAACATCCTTGCTTGTGGAAGTATTTCCTGGGGATTAGGGAGGCGTTTTGCCTCCTCGGCGGGGTAAAAGCTTCTGCAATGTGCTACTGGGCGTTAAGCACGAGGCGGTGGGATGGGGCGATCGCCGCCTGGATTAGGTAATGGTTAAAGGAAAAAATAACCCCTGGCTGCTCTGTACCTGCGGTAGGGCTGCCCCAGTGCTGCGCTTGCTGCTGGCGGGGCAGGCTGTGTGTGGCTGGCGGGTAAAGGGAGTTTTCCCATT